CGCGGGCCCTCCATCAGGCTCCTGGCCAGAGTGGAGTGCGTGCTGCTCAACAGGCTCGCGGTCTGCGGGCACTGGGGCTGCACCTGGTTCGAAGGACTCCGCGCCGGTGGCGAGGTCAAGTGGAGGTGCAGCTGGGACTGCGTGTGCTGCACGATCACGGCGGGCTCGGCCTCCGCNNCCTCCGCGCTGTCCTTCTGGCGCAGAGCGCGGAACTTCTTGTGGGGTTTGTACGCCTCGTCCATTAGGGAATTGGTGTCGTACAGCGGAGGCGCTTGTAGGACGCGTTTGAGCACCGGCATGTCCTCCACTTCTTTATCCTCGGAGCGAGGACTGGAGCAGACGGAGGTTGGGGCACTGCTCGCGCTGCTGCTCGCAGGTTTGTCAGGCTTTTCGGTGCCGGACTCGATGCCGCTATCGCTGGGAGAGTCCAGCTTGCGGAAACGCGGACACTGAGGCGGTTGAGGAGTCTTCGACAAGGATGCGCGGTGCAACTCGTCGTCTCCTGAGCTGGTGCTGCCGGAGTTCGCTCGCCTGCGATGTGGACAGAGTCCTCCGGCGAGGGTGGCGGCCAGAAGAGGTGCACTGGACGCGTGGTGGCCGGTGGGTGGAGGCACGTGGTGGTACTCCGTCAGGGAGGCGACTTCTCCGCTGCAGGTGCTCTCCGTACTCGACACGCTACCCAACGGACTCTTCACGGCCTCGTCGAGGGTGACGTCCGAGGCAGAGCCCCAGGACGCGGGTGGTTCCTCCTCCATGGGCCAGTGCTGCTGCGGCTGCTGGGCACTGATCACGTGCTGCGTTTGTTGCTGCTGTTGCTGCTGTTGTTGCTGTTGAGCCTGCATCTGCTGCTGCTGCTCGGTCATCTTGAAGGCCAATAGTTTCTCCGAATGGAGGGTGTTGAGCGTTCTCAGGTCCGGAATTTTCTTCAGCAGCTCCCTCAGGATGTCGGGGTGCTGAGGGTGGTTCTGGGCTAGCACGGTCTGCAGAGCGTTTCGCAGTTTATTGTGCATACGTTCGACCAGCTCGGTGTTGCGTAGTCCAGGTCGGTCCGCGGCGATCACCACGATCGAACAGAAGAGACCCAACTCCGCGTCGGATAGTCGCAGGGAATTGACCCTCTCGGCGAAGTCGAACATCGAGTCCATGAGGAATCGCGCGTTACTACTATTATGGATGGACTCCCGTTTGAGCACTTGTCCGTTCAGACAGATCATGCTGTTCGTTTGAGCGTCGAACATGCACGCCAGTCGCACCAGCAACACCTCGAACACGCCCGCCTTTAGCAGCGTGACCTGGTCGTCCTGTGCCAGCAGGCTAAAGCCAGGAATACGTTTCGCGAACTCCACCACGCCGCGTATCGCCGGCGAAAACCTCTTCGAGAAGTCTTGCAGTAACTCTTGCTGGCCCGTCAACGGTTGAGGGTTAGGGTTCAGGGGGCATGCCTGCAACAGAAACACGGAACGATCCCGATGAGCACGAAGGTCGTGAACGTCTAGGAAGTTCCTCGTTCGCCGAGGACGACTGGTTCGATTTCCGCGTAGAACGTACTCGGATGATCCAAGGCCCGTTGACGTAAGCGAACGTAAAAACCGTCGAAAAGTGTGAACGGTTGTGTAACGCGGGAAGGTAAATGTCAAAAGGAACTCACCAAGGTTGGCGGACACGCGGTATAGTTGGGTGTCTCTCGCGCTCTGACCAGAATCGGAGCCACTTTGTCCCTGGTGAAGTCGCATGTGTCGAGATGGGCTTGCACGACGGTGGCCAGAAGCCGTTGCTCGTCCTCCAGCTCGGCCGCTACTGCCTTCTCCTGAGAACGGCTGTGGGAGCTTTGCTGCATAGCAGCCAGAATCCTGGCCTTCTCACGCTTGGGCACACGGCCGAATCGCACCGCTATAAGCAGAAACACGGATGGCCAACGGTTAGACGTCAAGTTCGGTCAGTTGTAAAGCGGAGGGAAGGACACGATGAATAGTTAATGCGATCAATGGATGAATCATGCAACGGACACGGCGATCCGGACGCGACCTTCGGCTACTCGCGTGCATGATCCGCGCACCAACACCGCACAGGATCCCCGGAGGGGAAAAAATCGAGAGGGGAAAGCGACTTTCTCGCGCGAGAAACGAAAGTGGCCGACTCGTGCTACGAATCCTCCGTTAGAAAGTGAACAGGGCAAGACGGGTTCTCCACCGGACACCTACGTGCATTGTGGTAGTCGACAACTCCGTTGAGGATTCCCTTCAGTATGGGCAACTCGTCTCCCATGACGGTCAAGAGAAACGCTTGATCCTTAATCGTGTCCCCGTGTGCGGCGTGTGGCTTCAGAGCGAACTGCACCGCGCACCAAAACTAGTCTCCCATCGGGCACGATCACTACCGGTCGATGTACGAACGGACACCATAAACGATGCCGGTCTGATCGAATGTATCCTCGCCGACGACGATTCGCTGGCTGACCCCCGCGAGTCACTCCAACGTATTAGTAATGTAGCGCGGC